GATAGGGTAGATTTGAACTAAGCCAGATTTGGCCAAAGGTTTAAGTGTTGAAGTCTGTGAGCTATTAATACAAGCAATCAGTAGAAGTTCTGGATCTATTCACTTCTCAAGATACTAAGTGAGAATAGTCAGAGCTTCATAAAAGGCAGGGTGAGAGTGTTCCATCTGGCCTGAAGATAGGCAGTGAAGTGAAAGTAGGACCCAGGATCAGAGGCTAACAGGTATGGAGCTGTTTTAACCTGGAGGTAAGGATGTGGTTGTTTACCTTTACGATCCCCTTTTGAACATGCACCCACACCCTGGAATTCATCATATTACACAACTGATTTACATTTAGAAAGCTGTCTGATGGGGTTTAGGATGCACCACAGAAGGCAGAAACAGTAGAGAGCAGATCACAGTACCAATGTCTAATTCTGAGGAAAAATATTACTTCTTGTGTGTTGGGGTTGAGACGACACATTATGAATGAGACCCTGGTAGATTTCCCATTATCATACAAGAGTTGGAATGTTTTTGAGCAGTTTCTGGTCACAGACCCACTCTACATCAATTCTATCCATTTCATTTTTTTGAAGATGGCAGGCATTGTAGCCAGCATGTAAGACTAAGAAAGTTCTTGGTTAGTATAAAAATATCCCAGAGGTAGCTTACTTAGAAGTCTTGTTGTGCTGTGAAATCTGTCTTTCAAAACTCTAAATACCTTTCTTAGTTTCCAGTGATGCCTGAGGGGTTCATGAATCTACGATCTTTATCACCTTGGAGATTGAAGGCCTCCTAATGCCTGGATCCAGCAGCTGCACTCATATTAAAAAATGCTGCCGAGCAGCTGGTGAAGATATCAATCAATTCAAGGATTGCACTTCTGAAGCTTTGTACAGACACCCCTTGACCTGACTGCCCAGCAGAGACTATCAAAAATAAAGTGTAATTATGAAAAATGGCACTCTATGTTCAATATGTCCATGTAAGTACTAGGAATCGCTCAAAAGGAAAATGCTTTGGGACCATAACACATATGCTATTTCAATTAACTTCTTACATGTATCTAAAATGAAAAAGGAGGCTCATCCAACCATTCGTGGAGAAATCTGGCATTTTCTATTTTGTTTTTTAAGTTTAACCACATTGTAGCATTTTAAAATACCACCCAATCTTTGTTATTCATTTAACTGATGGAAATGATACACTGGGCAGGTGAAGTTTGGCACTGATATACTGTCTCTTTGACCCCCTGGTTTTAGAAAAGGATAAGTTAGCATCTGCCAAACCTGTGGAGCTACAGGGGAAATTAAAACAAGTTGCATTTTACAGTAGCACTGTATTATTATTATATCTAACTATGAAGAAGTTAATAAAATCTTACCTAGAGCATTGCTTTAAAGACTACTTATATGACACTGTAATTCAGAAATGATACCAGAGATTTGATGTAAAGTGAACTTAAAAAAACATTAAAATCAAAATGATAGGAGCAGTTACAGTTTGGGGCAGAAATTTTTCTTATGAACATATAATAATTTCATAAAGCATTATGATGTAACACTCATTATCTTGTGTGGTCTCTACAAACTAATATTTAGTGGAGAAAGCCTTTTTTAGCATCCATCCATTCATTCATTCATTTTCAAGTACTTCTTTGGTATCTGCCCTATTCTCCAAGGACAGGCAATAAACAATAGACAAGGCCCTCCTTCCTGTCTTTGGGAAGCTTCAGTTTACCAAAAGAGATACAAACAAACATATCCTCCCGATTAAGGAAGCCCTATGATAGAAAAGTAGAGGATACCGAAGAGGATACATACTCTCCTGTATAAGCAATGGAGAGTTGGAGATGTCCATTAAACCATTCTCAGAGTAGCAGCATTTGTGGAAAGAACTAAGAAACTGAGAGAAGCCAGGACTTCAGTTGTACTTTTGAAATCAACATTTGAAGTTTTTGAAGGCATGCTCCCATTGACTATATCTTTTCTTGGCCATGGTCATGTTTTCTTGTTTGGTCTCATATTTAGTGAGCTTTGATTATGCATGTGTTGAATAATGCACTGTAGAGATTACTGATAATGTCATCTTCCCTGAAGAAAGTTGGGTCTTGTTTTGGTCAGCAGTTATATTATTATTGTAACACCTAGAATATGTGGCACTTGGACTTTGGTGTTGTGTTGGTCAGTACGTTTCAGTTTTTCCCTTACCCCAAGAGAAATTTCCTATTTTCATAACTTGGTTTTTTACTTCTAAGTTGTGATTGTTTGGTGACTTTGAAGGAATATTTAATGACTTTAACGCATCCTATACATACACTGGAATCAAGCTCCAAAGTCTGACCCTCACAGAGTGGCCAGAAACTATAATCTTTGTTTTGTTTTGTTTTTTGTTTACTTTTCAGATATGGGTTATTCTCCATCTTTGAACATCTTGACATTTTATCTCCAAGTTTGTAGTTTATGGATTCCAGGGAAGTTTATACAAGTTTTAAATATCTGCTATGGCTGAAATTTTCAGAAACTCCAGAAGGAACAAAATTCACACTTTGACTCCTCCAACCAACACAACTATAGTTTTCTGTTGTAGCTGCTGCAAAGTGCAAGCAGCTGAGAGAAGATGCTGTATGAATTCAGTCGATGGCTCACGTTGTGTGCTTCTCTTTTTGGAGGGTTGATTCTTTTCTTGTTTTTGACTATTTTCAGTGATTGTCTTATGTAATATGGAGAATTAGATTTTTCTCTTTTTATTTTATTTTTTAATGTATTTAGTACAGGGTCTACAGGGTTTCACTGCACAGATCAGACTTAGGGTGATCTTTCCATTTTCAGTCTCCCAAGTACTGGGATTAAAGGTGCGCACCACCATGCCAAGTTCTTTTTTTTTTTTTTTTTTTTTTTTCAGTACTGAGGATTGAACTCAAAAATAAGAGTTCAAGAATAGAGTGCTTGCTGGGCAAGCACTTATTCTACTTGAGCTATCTCCCTGGCCCCTGAGCTATCCCCCCGCACCTCCCATGCTGAGTCTTCAGTATTTATAATTTTTTATTTATGGAAATATGATGCAAACATTCTGTCCTATCTTGTCTTTTAAATATCTTTTTGCTGTAAATTTTTCTGCTTTTCTGTGAAAAGAATCTGTGGAATTCCTATTCTGGTTAATGACCTGATTCCAGTTTGGAGCTCTAATCACTGTGTGTTCTCAGCCTCACTTAGGAGTACAGAGTATATTCGCTTCATTGCACTTATTTGTTTACCAAATAGGTCTTGCCTTGCTGTATTACATAAAGTTTAAAATAAATAATGATGCATGTGGGCTTGAGTTCCAGGGTTAGGTATGTACTTTGCTGTAGATGTGGTTTAGTCATGTCTGTCAGAGTTTCATGCGCTGGAAGCTTGTTTCTGAGGGTGGTGATGTTGGAAGGTTGGACCTAATGAAGTGGGGCCTAGAGGGAGGTGAAAGGTTAACTGGAGGCTCTACTCTGGGGAGGAGTTGAAGTTGAGCTATCTCTCAACTGCTGTTTCCTGCTTTGTGAAGTGACCATTTCCTCATGCACATGCACCAGTCATCTACTACAGTGCTAGAGTCAGCACCATGCTGCTTGAAATTTAAGAGTTCAGAACTATGAGCTAAGCAAACCTCTTTTTATAAGCTTAACTTGCCTCACGTATTTTGTTATAGTAATGCAAACTGACTAACAAAATATAGTATTAATTTATATAACCTTCAATTTAAGTTTTTAAATCTTCAGGTACAAATATGTAAAATGAAGGGTTATCTTTATTAAGAGTTAGTCTTAATAAAGATAAAATAAGATTTTATAAGCAACTCTTTTCAGCTATGATGGTCCTGGTAGTTCATTGATGATAAATATAGAATAAATTATTATTATTAGGAATATTTAATATATTACCTGAACTTTATTCATCTCCAGTTTGTTCTTCTCATTGGCACTTTGATCTTGTTTGCTTGCTCCCTTTTTCTGAGGGCCTTTACCAAAAAAGATGTAATTTACAAAGGCGTATTCCAGCAAAGCCAGGAATACAAACACAAAGCAACCCATCAGATAAATATCAATCGCTTTGACATAAGGGATCTTTGGCAGGGTCTCCCTGAGATGAGTGCTGATGGTTGTCATTGTCAGAACTGTGGTGATTCCTGCGAAACAGAAAAGCGAAGCTTAGCTGAAGGAACTTCTGTGGAATTGTCCTTTTCAAGATCATAAGGACAGATGACCTTCCCTTAATGGTGCCCTGGAATCATGACATTAACCTTATAAGCCACTGGACAAAAGGGCACACATTTAGAAAGACAAAATCATGGCCTTCTTCCATAGTCAGTGATGAATAGTATGTACAGCTAAATGGTGGACTGATAACGGTTAAAATATATTATTGTAAAAGGGGAAAAAGATAAAAAGTCAGGCAAAAATCTCTCTAGAAGCTTGCCTCCTAATGTGCCTCAGTTCTGCTTTCTGTGGCTAATAAACGTTCTTCTTTCTCTCAGTGTCTCACTTATGTCCCTCCAAAATCTGTCCTTATGACGGTAATTCCCATAGGGGCCACTACCAACTAAAACTTGGTGACCAGCTTGAGGTCTACTCAATTCTATTAATCCACAATACACCTGAGCTTGCAAATTGAGTATTGCATTTTAAAATAATAAATCTTTCATGCTAAGGTATCACCGAAGAAAACATTAAGAAGTTTATGACATATCATTCTATCAAACATCTCATTTATATAATTTTTAGATACAACATAATCTTCTTGCTGTAGTTTTTCAAATATTAACTCTACTTTCTTAGTTCTACAGCCTAGTAAAAAATAATACCCCAGTGTTAGTAAAAAACATCTTAAAAATGATCTTGGATTTGTTAAAAATGTTTGTCCATAGATACATAAAAGGTTGATTGTGCTTTATCTTCTTTTTTATTATTTTATTTATTTATTTGTATTTTAGGGGAAGGATCTAGTTCAGGGTCTCACTACTAGATTGGACTCTTAGTGATTCACCAATTTACAGACTCCCAAGAACTGGGATTACAGGCATGCGCCACCACGCCCAATCTCAATTGCTGTCTCAGTGGGCCCCAGAGGTGGGGCCGGCACAGCAGGCCCAGGGATCGAACCCCCCAATCCAGCGCCTGCCTGCAGGCATTTTAATCTGCTGCGCTATTTGGCCGGCCCTTTTTTTTTTTTTAAGTGTATTTAGTACAGTATGTACAGTGTCTCACTACATAGATCGGACTCATAGTGATCCTCCTGTTTTCAACCTTCCAAGAGCTGGGATTACAGGTGCATTCTCAGTCTCAATCACTGCCTCAGCACACCTCTGGGGCGAGGCCTGCAGGGCTTGAGTTGCCTGGGATCAAATCCTGGTCCCTGCGCTCTGCCTAAACAGGCACTTTAGCCCAGTGAACTATCTGGCTGGCCCTGTGTTGTGTCTTTCTTTATTAAATATAGGCTTCGTAGCTTAAGTTTGCGTGAGTTGCATAGCTTGATAGCAATTGTGATTAAATAATACCTGAGAAAATAAGAAATGAAAAAAAGTTGAAATTTTGTATAGTTTGTGTTGCAATATGAAATACATTTCTATAATGTTTTATAGGTTTTAACATCTATAGTTATGAATTATTTCCTATGGCTGTCATAACAACATGTTGAGTATGGAGCAAAATTATACTATTTTTTATACTGTGTGAACAAAACTTGAGATTAAGTCACCCCGCTGCTGGGCAACAATTTAAGGAGACCTTAAACAATAGCATTTAAAAACGAACAGATATGAGAAGGTGTTATCTGGAATTTGATGGAAATATTTAAAAATAAAAGCAGGAAACATTAAATGGATGGAAAAGACAGAGGAAATATCAAAATAGTGAGAAAGAAAATGGTAGTTTGCACTCCTTCCTCCTCTCAGATTGTTCTAGATGTAGAGGTTTCCGGATTCTACCATATTTTTGAAGAACAGATGAAGTAGAAGTTAAGACTATCATACAACATATTAAAATGATTCACATCAGTGTTAATTCTAATGGATTGTACTGATGTGGAATAGCATTATGTGTAGACATATTTATTTCTTTGAATAAAATGTTAAATTTCATCTAAATAGTTATAGTTTCTGGCTTGAAAAATGCCTAATTAATTTACAAATTCACTAATTGTATTTCTGATTCAATCTTTGGTTAAATTTTTAGTCAAAAAGTGTTAGCAAGGCTGGAGAGATAGCTCAGTAGAATAAGTGCTTGCCCGGCAAGCGCAAGGACCTGAGTTCAATCCCCGGTTCTGCCAAAACAACAACAACAACAACAAACCATATAATTGAAAAAAAAAGTGTTAGCAAATGAATGTCTTTTATGTTTAAATATGTCAGGTTTACATTTTTAAAATAGATTAAATTAGCTATCTTTATAATCATATGTTTTTCCTCTAAAGAAAATATCATTGTTTTTGAGAATAGATACACAAAGGTTATCAAAATTCATGAATTTCCTAGCTATTTCTCCATGTTGTGGACATCACCCAGTATTTTTTTTGCTTTTTTACTAATCCTGGCATATGCACATAACACACATTCAAATAATATGTACCTATACATGTGTTTAATAGGATACATTATTTCTTTGCTCTTACAGTGTTCAAAGAAGCTGCCAGCCCTGGCTACTGTAAGCCTTATCTATTCGGCCAGTAGCAATAAGGTGTAGAGGTGACTATTAGTATAGATGCAAAAGGGTGTGTGATGGCCATGTAGTTCAGTTGGGCAACCTCAGAGGAGATGTAGTACATTAGCTTAGACAGAAGTGATGCTGTTCTCTATGTGTGTGTGTGTGTGTGTGTGTGTGTGTGTGTGTGTGTGTCTGTCTGTCTGTCTGTCTGTCTGTCTATCTGTCAATCTGAATAAATCTAGAGAGTAATTATTAAAGTGGTTGTGGTTCAAATAAAAAGGCATAGTTATACATGCCCAGAATCATCAGGCACACCTAAAACATACAACTTTTAACAGACAAGTTAAAAGTCTCAAATCTTTCAGGTTTCAGTCAATTATTCAGTATGGCAAGATTAATTCTGAATTTTGTTCTACATAAAAGGAGAACATTTTTTATTCGTCCTTGATCAGAGATAATTAATATAGTTAATTACTTTTAATTACTTATATATGCTTAACACAAAGTAATGAGCTCCATTTAAAGGAGACTCAGCTTGATATGTTCTAACTTTAGTTAATATTCAAAGGATAGTATTTCCAAATAACTGATGTAAACTTTTTAACAGTCACGAGGCTTTGCTTTCTCCAAGTCTATTTAAAAATAATGAGTTACAGGTAATTTTCACAATAAAAAAGTAGAAAATAAAGAGGAGGTTATCATGAATTTAGTTAAAATTTGTGTACTGTATATTTGACAAAGTACATTATGGGAAGCATGCCCTAAGAATTTTCTTTTTGGTAAAATGCAAAAATATATTTAATTGTAAAAACTCATTATAAATACTTGTACACTTATATTTAGATGATTTTTAAATTTAATTTCTCTTCTGATAATTTCTTCATCTTATTATAAGAAAATTCTTGCATATGAGCCCTAATTTGGCTGTCTGTTTAAAGGTACAAGCCATTAACTCTCTGCAGAACTGCTAACGCCTACCTAGTGCGACTCTGGCTGCAGATGCATCATAATTGATCCAAAATGACACCCAGGACAGAATTGTAATCAGGGTAGAAGGCATGTAGGTTTGCAAAATGAAGTAACCGATGTTTCTCTTTAGACGAAAACTTAGTGATAATCGTGGATATGCTCCTGAATTGAAAAAGAAACAAAAGACAATGCAAGCGTCATTTGATTGTGGTCATCTTTGGCAGTGCAGGCATTTCTAGTTAATCATGGTGGAAACATCCTCACCTGTTGTGAACTCCACTTTCTTAGACACCATCTTGTAGTCAACAATTGAAAACTGAGGAAGCTCAATTTTATTGACTCCGGTTACGGCTTTCTCTCCTCCGTTCCAGTAAAATTCAATGTCATCAGTGGTGTAGCCATCTGCAAAGAAAACAAACAGCCTAGTGACATAGAATCCAGGTGGTCTGGAAGTCCATATTGAAGACAATTTTGAAACCAGAGGGAAGATTCACAGTGAAGGATGGCAAAGTAACATTGCTCTGAATTAGTGCTCCGGATGGGTCTCCTGTTGATTGCTGTTACTAACGGGTTAGCAATGACTGCGCTGAGAAAACAGGTACATCTGGTTTTAGTGGACATAAGCTCTAGATCATTTAATTGCATCTGATATTATGCTGCATATTCATTTTCATTGTGTCTACTAGTAGTGACTGAAGTGAGAGATGGGGAAATTTCAGAGGTCTGGAAATTTTTTTTCAATTTTTATTTTTATATTTGTCATTTGTATTCACAATACTTTAGGTCCAAGTTTCAAACTGCAATATTTTTGCACTCAAGACACAGTCATTCAGAATCCATATTTAAATTTTCTATTGCTTCAACCACAATTTAAAATAACAATATTGGAAACAAAAATCCTTACAAAAAGATTGAATGCTAAAGGTATAAAGATGGAACCATACCATCAGCAAGCTTGCAAAAGAAATAACTTACTTAAGAATCAAACAAAAAGACCATAAATACCTTTAATCCAAAGTTACAGAAGAATTTCACTACAAAATGGAAATGTATTTTGTCTATGCATTATCTTACAACATTGACAGCAAAACATAATAATAATTGAGTACATTTTTTTTACTGTAACCTCTGTTTAAAATTTAATTTTATTTTTATTCGTTTTAATGACAAAAAGATAAAATAGCAATGAAACACCTTTGAAACAGGTTGGTGGGACACAGTTACAATAGTTAATACATTGCATATTGTTGTCTATTTGTTAAAAGGAAAAGGAGAAATGAAAGGAGTATAGTGAACTGCCAAGTTTGCACATATCTATTGACCAAGGTATTAAAAAATGTACATTTCTTTTAGAAAATTATTCAAGTTTTTAGTTTTATTCTTTGTAGCTATTAGTACAGCTAATATATGGGTAAAATTTCGGTAACTATATGAGATGTGATTGAAAAAAAATTTTTTTTAATTTTTTTTATTTTAACATTTATTGTGTGTGTGTGTGTGTGTGTGTGTGTGTGTGTGCGTGTGTGTGGCCAGCTCAGCCCACCAGGGGGCGCGGCTGGCTGGCATGTGGTGCTGGGGGATTGAACCGCGGTCCCTGTGCCTTGCCAAAGCTTGTTCCAAGTAGGTGCTTTAGACCACTGAGCCATCTCTCCAGCCCGTGATTGAAAATTAAGATGTGTATATAAATAATAACATAGTGAAAGACACATTTTCATTAAATCAAATTCAAAATTCTCCCCTGGCTTCAAACACACTTACGTCATCATTGCTGCTTTCTGAAGCAATTTTGAAGTCCGTTTTCATGAGTTTCTTTAGTTGTAATGTTATGGCTGCCTTTTATGTCTTCCATTAATGTAAAACATTTATCTTCATGGTCATTTTGATTTTAGGAAAGTCAGAAATCACACATTGCCAGATCAGGTGAAGACTGATTTTAGAGCCTGCTTTTTTGTCGGATAGTACTAAGTAGCAGCATTCGTACCATTTCTGTTTGCATATGATAAATATATGAAGCATAACTATATGAAAGAAGACTTGAGAACAGCTTCAGGAAATGGCAAGAATGTGGGGATAAGGGTGCTTGAAACTGGGGGAGAGTGAAGGAAGTTCATTGGTAATGTGTCTTTTACTGTAATAATTAAACAAAAGTAATCATTCACTATATTTTCAGTTATGCCATGTGTGATTTGTTAAGAATACTTTGATATCTTCTTATTTATCAGGGTGAGATAATTTAAGGGGGACAAATAGAAGATAGTCTTTATGTCTTCAGAAGGGAAGGCCCTATGTTGGTGACCTATGAGGGCTTCCTTGCTCAAAAATAGCTCTCAGATAGATGTGGTAGCACATGCCTGTAATCCCAGCCCTTCGGAGGCAGAAAAAGGAGGATCAAAGTTGCATTCTTTTTTTTTTCTCATAATCAATTGCTGGATTATGGTTATGTATATAAATAACTTGTGTAACAACAATGCTTGGATATATTACAATAATCTAAGAATAATTTATGACAAATTTAATTATTTTTATCCTTATCAATTTCAGACATTTCTAAGTAGAATTTTTATTGATATCAAATTTAAAAGTATTAAATCATTTTCTCCTTTAGAAGTCTACTTACTGAAGCTTGTTTTTCAAAGGTAATCTTAAAAGCTTTTGACAGTAGATAATATATTGACCTACTTTTGATTAAAGTCACATATCTTTTCAAAAGATTAAAAAATAGCTTTAAAAATTCGAAGTGGAATGGCACTGTGCTGAAAAAAATAATAGCTACCAATTTTCTACCACATGAATGGGAACAATATTTTTCTTCTTTTTTTAATTTTAAAGAGAATATAAAATGATCAAAGAAAAAGAAAAAAGCATTAGAAATGATACAGAATTTCACTAAACAAAATAATAAGAACTAAACAATGGTTGTTGTATTACATAATATTATCTTCAAATTACTTGTTTAGATTACCAAATATGCACATGCAAAATTGGAAAAAAGAGAAAAAAAATAGATATTAATTGCACCTTTCAATAGAGGAGCAGAAATCAGCACCACAAGTATCCAAGATATCTTTTTTTTAATCCAAGCTATCTTGCATATGTACATAAATATATTTTACTTCTTTCTTTCTTTCTTCTTTCTTTCTTTCTTTCTTTCTTTCTTTCTTTCTTTCTTTCTTTCTTTCTTTCTTTCTTTTTTTCCTTCCTTCCTTCCTTCCTTCCTTCCTTCCTTCCTTCCTTCCTTCCTTCCTTCCTTCCTTCCTTCTTTTGTGATTTTCCTTACTCCAATTTTTCATCCCATTGAACAGATGCTTTCCTTCACCAGTATTTCACTTACCAGTATGGTCTCTAGTTATATTCATTTGCCTATAAAAGCCTCGAGTTTATATTTTTTTCATAGCTGAGTAATACTCGATTATGTAAAAATACTACGTCTTTTTTTATCCATTCCTCAAGTGATGCACATTTGGATTGTTTCCAAGATTTAGCTATTACAAATTGTGTTGCTATATACATGGGCACATATAAATCACCATGGTATGATGTTTTCAATATATTTGGAAAAATACCTATTAGGAGAATATCTGGGTTGAATGAGACTTCTAATTCTAGCTTTTTGAGGAATCTCCACACTGATTTCCATAGTGATTGTCCCAGTCTACACTCCCATCAACAGTGAAGAAGTGTTTCTTTTTCCCTATAGCTCACCCAACTTTTGTTATTGGATGACTTCTTGATGTTAGCCATTCTTTCTGGTGTGAGATGGAATCTCAGTGTTATTTTAACTTGCATTTCTCAAATGACCAGTGATGTTTAATATCTTTTCATATATTTATTTCCCATTTGTATCTCTTCATTTGTGAAGTGTGTATTCATCTCAGATGCTCATTTTCTGGATTGGGTCTTTAAATTTTGGGGACCTGATTTTTTTATTTTTATATTCTTTATGTATTTTAGATAGAAGTCCTTTGTCTAAGGGACAGTTTGGAAAAATAATTTTTTTTACCAATTAGGGGTTTTTCTTTTTACTTTGTTGGTGATTCTTTTCAAGAAGATGAGATCCCAATTGTTTATTTGAAGTATTTCCTATGCAATTTGTTTTTTGTTTATGAACTCTACCTATCACTGTCTTTAGGATTTCTGCCATTTTCTCCTCCAGAAGATTTAGTGTTTCATTTTAAGTATTTAAATCTTTGACCCATTTCACTGTAGTTTTGTGCATGTGTCTAATTTTAGTCTTCAGCCTGTGGAAAGCTAGTTTTTCCAGCACCATATATAAAAGAGACTATCTTTCTTTCAGTGAGCATGGTTGGCCCCTTTGTCAAAGATAAGGTGGCTGAGTGTGTTTGTAGTTGTGTCTGCATCTTCTAATCTCTTCCATTGATCCTCATGTTATTGCCAGTACCATGCTGATTTTATTACAGTAGCTTTGTAGTATAATTTCAAGTCAGGGATTGTGATGCCTCCTGTCTTTCCTTTATTATCCAGAATTGCTTTTGCTATTTTAGTATTCTTCTGGTTCCAGATGAATGGTTTTCTAGTTTTGTGAGGTATGCTAATGATATTTTAAGTAGGATTGCATTGAAT